AAGCTATTGATTTTTTTTGTTAGCTTACAATCATTCATGCATATGTGATATTATTCGAGTGTCTTATAAAACCATTCTTACATTCCTGGCATATATCTTTCTTGGTTATTATGGAATATTCTTTTTATATGTTTTTAAATTTGATTCATTGGTATCTTATTTAGACTCTACACACTTACATCCATAGAGGAGATTTGTCCAGAGTTTTCATCTTTTACTCATTCTACAACAGATTATATAACATTAGTTGGTAATTAAAGTATCAAAAGACCCCACTAATAAAACCATCTCAACCTAGTCTTCTCAGGAAGAAATTCTTAGAAGAAATTTTATCAGTTTCTTCTTTAATTAGCAATCAATTTTCTTTTGAGTCAATTTTGTTAATTTCTGTCTTTTCAATAAAGTCACTTGTTTCCTTGAAACTTAAATATGTATCATACAGACATACAACTATGTAAGTTTTAATGTCCTTCATAGTCTATTCTTTATATCGTCTCTTGATTTAATTTTATTATTTGATTTTGCTCTCTCTTTTTTAAAATGTCCAAGTGATTGCCTCTAATCTTGTTATTTGAAATAGTAAACTATTTTATTGCTTTTTAGCTTTATTAATTTCTGCTTCATCATTATTATTCACACATTTTTTTCTTTGAACATAGATTTGCCAACATTCCTGAAATTTTAATATGCTACTTTCTTGATGTTATTTTTTTCTAATTAATTTGACATTTTTATTCCATATTCAGAACAATTAACTCAGAATGTTTTCAATTTCCAAGTCAAACCTGAAAAGCTGGTGTTCATGCCGCCTGCCGCTGCCAGAACCAGCAAGCGGAGACAGGGACTGACTCTGTGTGGGCACTTTACTCAGGTGGCCGGCGACCTGAGAAGGTGGCGGGTTATGAACCCTAACAGACTGTCCTACATTTCCTCTCAAGCCAGCCTTTTCTATAAGGAGGAAAAAGTATATGTAAGAGATTTGGAATTCAGGAAAGAGGTTAATTGGATAAAAGCTGCAATTTCCCTAACATCCTTTCACCTGCTGACTTGTGATTTTCTATCTGTGTCCTGTGTCCTGTGTCCTGGGTGATTTTCTTTGTGTCCTGGGAGGCGGGATGTCTCTTCCTGGAACACAAGGGCTCAGATACCATCTTGATGGCCTACGGTCCCCTCTGGAGCACCAAGGTTGAATTGCTTGTGGTCTCCTGGAGCCAGGCTGGGCCCTACCTGCAGCTCCTGAAACCACAGCTTGTTCAGGCATTAACTACGAAGCTTACGAACTATTACCTAAAACTAAAATTTCCCAACTCTTGAGTTCACCCATTGCAAGTAGTAGATGTGACTTTGTTATGGTCATTCACTGACAGGGTTGTTGTTGTTGTTGTAGAAAGATAAAGTAACCCATAAATTTCTTCTTTGGGGAACACCTTAAGGTTACTGTGTCTGGTGTGCGATCAGCTTTTATATATTCCATGTTTGCTTAAGGTCATAGCTCTCTCTCAGCACATTCTAACAGACAGACCTGGCATAACAAAAATTAGTGTTACTCTACAAAACACAAAGGATCTGACACCAGGAAAATTTCCCACAAGGTTAAACAGTGGTGCGAAAATGGTTCTAGAATAGGAGAGGGAGCTGCAAAGGAAGGGGCACGGGGGCAGCCCCAGCCGCAGCACAGGGCGGTGTAGGTGCGCCCGGGTCCAGGGACAGACTGCCCGGGTCTGCGTAGCAACACCGCCCGCCACGTGCTGCGGGCCCGGATCAGTTACCGAGCCTCTCGGTGGCACCTGTTTCCTGGGGGCTTTTGTAAGGCCTGAAGAAGGAAATACACGTCAAGCACTTGGGACATGCCTGAGGCTGGTGCTTAATGGAAGTCAGCCGGTGTCTCATTGAATTCGTGGAGCGAGAAGTACTTGGAGATAAGTCTGGTCACTTTCTATTTTGCAGATCAAAAGCTCAGTCCTGGAGAGGTTAGTAATTCCCTCAATGACCTCTGCCAGAAGGCAATGGAGCCGGACCTTCCCGGTTCTGAAACCCTTGACTTCTTTGCAAGAGGACCAAAGTCCTGGCTTGTTAACGGGCAGGGTGGGGGGCACCCCGAAGTTTAGCGTCCTGGCACGGTGTCCTGCGTGGGGGGTGTGCGTTTCCCACCTCACATCTTTCTCATGGGGACCTGGCCCTTGAGCGTGTGAAAGCGCTCGTTTTCTGTGAGCTTTTGATCCAGAGCTCTCTTCATTCAAGCCCAGGAAGAAAAGAACACTTGACTTGTATAATATAAGAAGAAACTTCCGGATCTCTGTTAAAGGGATTTCAAGCCCCAGACAGCCCAACAACTTTCTCACCTGAGAATTACCTTGATTCTCCAGTTGCTTAGAAACCACACCTTTCCTCTTTGAAATGGAGAATCTCACCTTAGGGCATGACCCAGAGGTTTTCTAAAGCCGGGAAATGCAGGGATGGGTCTGAAGCAGCCACACGGATGCATTTCCCTGGAAGGGAAAAGGAAAATCAGAGACTGTGACTTCTCCATTCTCTCTGCCACTTCCGAGTTCCTCTCAGGTTGATGTCCAGACTCCTTCAAACGACATCCCAAACTCTGAACCTTCTCTTAGATAATCCCGGCTTTTCAAACGGGGTGGCTTTTCACCTGGGGCGGATTCACGGTCCCCCTCTCTAACAACAGGAAAAAGAGTGCGTGCGGGGGGGGAGGGCTCTGCCATTTGTCAAGTGTGAGAGCTAATGTCTGCAAGTGGCGATTCTCAGGGTTTCCTTAGTGACCATTCACAGCTGCGGTCAGCGCGCCTCCGAGCAGGGGTTCTCAGGGTGCTCCCTGCCCGCACCCGTCCCTACTGGACTTGAAACGCTGGGGTGCAGCTCAGCCATGTGAGGTCCCACAAACTCCCCAACCCCGGTGAGCGTGACACCCACTTGAGTTTGAGAACCCCTGGGAAAGTGAGTCAGAGCAAGGACCCTGGACCAATGCCTGGCTGTGGGTCCCCACTCTGCTACCGACTAGCTCTGTGGCCTTGGGCAGGCTCCTTAATCTCTCTGTGCCTCGGCATCTTTGTTAGTAAGACGGAGATAAATGTGCACAGCTCACGGAGCTGTTGTGCAAATTCAGTCAAGTGACCCAATTCTTAAGTCAATACCTCGCACGTAGAGATCAATCCCGAAATCTTGGCTCTCTTGTTTAGCCTCACTTTGTGCGAGGTGTACTGGACACATCTCGGGCATCGCCTGTTTCTGTGGCCATTAAAGGTAGTCGCTCCCACTCAGCCTTCCCCCAAACAATTGTCCTGTCGTAGAGATGTCCTATGTTCTCCTTCGGATGCGAGTGGTCACTCACCTGCTGGCCTTTCCCCAGCGCTGAGGCTGGAGTGAAACCGGAGGGCAACCGTGCCCGGGCCTCGCGCTGCCTGCCAGCCAAAAAGCAGAGACAGGGACTGGGTTGCAATTGTGCTTTTATTAACAGCAGAGGCCAGTAGTCCGAGCCGATGGCAGGTAAAAACCCTAACATCCACCTTCCCTTCAGCTTTCAGAAGCAAGTGCACGTGGGGGAAACGTGGGTATCTGGGAGGGGACATTCCGAGGAGGGGCACAGATGTGCTGTTTCTCGGGGAGGGGAGCCGCGGGGGCGGGTCGTGCCGTGTCTCCCCGGGCTGGCCCCTCTCTTCCGGTGTTATCTCCCCGTCCGCGTTAGAATTCCTCTCTTCCGTGGATACCTGGGCTTTACAGCCAGGGAGGTATGGCTCTCTGGTTAGGGGAGATAAGCTCTTGGGATTCACCAGCTGTTGGTAAATTGCTCAAACTGTTGGGCTCTGTTTAATTTTCTTGTCTCGGTTTCCCCATTCCACTTGCCCAGGAACTTTCCTAGCTTCTTGCTCTCCTGTCCCAGGGGGTCTTGTTGCTGTATCATCATAGATCCGACCGCGGGGTCTATGACCTTAAGATGCTCCTTAATACTTCTTTGCTTCCGAGAATACAAACAGACCCCCGGGCTCACCTGCTCTGAGTGTGCAGTGCCGGCAAGACGCGAGCCACCGAGTGCTCAGCACCGTGGCTTTGGGTGAGTCATCTCTCGTGACCTCGAGCTCCTCGTTACTCAGAAGAAGGTCTCCCTTCAAGGCAGCCCCAAGGCCCCTGCGTTCTCGGGCCGCTGGTTTGACGGGTAGTGCTGTGTGGTTGTGTGGTCACGCCACTCCAGGCCGGAGACACTGCGGCATCTCTAACAGCTCAGCCCGTGTCTCAGAGGAACATGGAAGGGAATAAAAAATAAATCCAGTCGTTCTTGAAGCCCTGTCACAGGAACTGCCAAGAAAGCCTTCGAAGCTTGCCTGAACTTCCTTGTACTGTCTTCCAGACAGCCTCAGGGGAAAATGGTCTGTTCAGCCGCCTTCTGAGTGGGTGGCCTGCGTCCGCGTGGCTGCTGGAGGGAGAGAGACCTTCCTGAGCCCCAGGGAGGGGAAGACAGGTAGCCCTGGAGGTGGCCGGGTCCTGAGGTCCTGCCCTGTGTTTGCCACGCCCGGCAGCCCGCCCTGTTCACTGACTGCTGGTGAGCACAGGCCGCCGAGGCGGCTGGGTGGTGGCAGAGCCTGAGCAGCGGTTTCCTCTGCGCACCTACTGTGCGCCAGGGCCCACCGTCAGAGCGTGATGGACAGCCTGACGGGGCTGGGGCTGTCCCCGCGGCACAGGTAAAGAGACAGAGATACTGGGGGCCTTGAGAGGGGCTCCCAAGGCCACTCACGCAGGAGAGCGAAGCCCTCCAGGCTCACCGCGGTGCCCGGAGCCGGGGGTCAGTCCGCCGGGGCCCCCCCAACGCCTCCTCCTCAGAGCCACCCCGCAGGTCACCACCTCGCAGGATTCACGACCTCGCGGAGAGTTCCGGACACCCGGGGCTGGTGCCGACCGGTGTCTGATCCCTCCCCCAGCCCTGCAGCGGGGGCCACGCCGGTGATGCCTGGGGGCCACGCCCACCCATCAGACCCCTCTTCTCCCTTCAGGAGAGCACCTGGCCGTTCCTGTTTGGAGTGATTGCCATCCCCGCCGTGGTCCAGCTGGTGAGCCTGCCCTTCCTCCCCGAGAGCCCACGCTACCTGCTGTTTGAGAAGCACGACCAGGCGGGAGCGGAGAAAGGTAGGCCCCTCGCCTCCGCCGCGTGGCTCCGGCACCCTCACAGGGTCAGTGTGGCGGGACGCGCGGGGCCCTGGGCCTCCCCTCCCTGCAGGCGCGGTGCTGGGCGCCCGAGGACACCCTCACTCATTTCACATCCCCCACAGCCCGCTCTGGGCAGCCCAGGGAGGGGACGTGGGTCCCTCTGGGCGCCTGGGAAGCCAGGAAAGAGCAGGGCGAGACCCAGGTCTGCTCACTTCTGGGCTGTGGTGTCTGTCCATTGCGTGGGCCCCACCGCAGACAGGACGAGGACGCAGATTCCTCAGCGGTGCCGGTCTGCGGGGGCCCTCCCTCTGCCCCTCTCTTCTTCCCTGCCTCGTCCTCCTGTCTTCACATTCACTCGCAAGGAAGGGGACTTTACAAGCACAGAGCGAGCGCCGGGTCACGCACACGGGGCTGGGAGCAGCCCTGCCAGGGAGGCGTGGGAGGCTTGCCAGTCCTAGGCGGCACCCCTACTTCCCTCGGTGGTGCCGGGCAGGGTCAGATGCGAGGCTCAGCTTTTGGAACTCAGAGGCATTGCTGCAGAGCCCCGAGAAGCCAGGATCATTCTGCCCAGAGACAGACAGCAGAGCCGAACCCCCGCCTTCCAGTTCATCCAGCGGGAGAAAAGGAGACACCGGTACCGGCGTCGTGGGGAGGGGCGTGAGGGGCTGGAGTAACCGGCACCGCGGCAAGGCCCGGCTCTGCCCGCCCACCCCCAGCAGTGCCCCTGGGAGCTTCACCTATCTATCTGTGCTTCATAGCATGATTTGCTGTCATTACTACTAACAACTGTGTCCATTTACTTAATCCAGATCCTGTCCCGCTGATCTAAATTGCGCTCATGTCCACATCCAAGGAAAAAAAGTTGAGAATTACCATCTTGTTTAATATAATTCATGCAACATTTTAAAAAAGTCCAGGCAACCTATTTTCGACCTAACAAATGGCATAATGGGATATTAATAATGGCCGGTATTTGTCTCACAGCTTGTGGTTCGGATACACTTTCTCATTTACAACATTTCTGGAGTGTGAAATCAGAGAACTTCCATTTACTAGATGAAGAAATGGAGGCTTCCGGGGGTGAAGTGACTTGCCCAAGGCTGTGGTTCTGTGGTTTGGGTTTCCAGAAGCCTTTGAAAATTTGACGGAAACAACAGACGTTCCTTCAGTAGAAGAAAATCACCCGTGTGCACAAAATTTGTGGCGTTTGGTGTCACAGAGCAGGAGCATTGCCCAGAGGCAGCCTTCCTTCCTCTCACCGTGGGTCCCTCATCCGTGCCCCTCGGGGGCAGAATCCACCAGGAACCAGCTAGCACGATAGGCCTCTGGTCCAGGTGAGACAGGAGAAATTCTGAAACAGTGATTTGGGACTGAGTCTGGTGGGCAACCTATAGAATAGGGCAAAGTGTCTGCAAACCACGTATCCAATAAGGATTAATCTCTAAAATATATAAGGACCTCCTCCAGAAAACACTGATAACCTCTGAAAGGGGGCAAAGGACTTGAACAGATATTTCTCCAAAGAAGAAGTACAAATAGCCAACAGGTATATGAAAACATGCTCCACGTCACTAATCATCCAGGAAATGCAAACCAAAACCACACTGTGACATCAGCTCACACCTGGCGGGGTGGCCACCATCAATAACTCAACAAACAACAAGAGCCGGCAAGGATGCGGAGAAACCGGAGCCCTTGCCCAGTGCAGTCTGTAGTGACTGCAGACGGGCGCCGTCGCTACAGAACACAGTGTGGAGGCTCCTCAAATAAAGTGAAAGCTGGTACTACCGTGCGACCCAGCAACCCCGCTTCTGGGTGTTTATCCGAAAGAATGAAAACCAAGACCTCGAAACCAGGAGCACTCCGCCTTCCTTGCGGCGCTCTTCACAACAGCCAAGAGGAGGAAACAGCCTCAAGTGTTTGCGGGAGGGCGAATGGATAAAGAAAACGCCGTCTGTACAAACAATGGAATATTATTCAGCCTTAAAAGAGAAGGCAGTCCTGTGCTATGGCACAGCGTGGGTGAGCCTGGAGGGCGTTCTGCTGAGTGAACTAAGCCGGGCACAGAAGGACAGATGCTGCATGATCTCGCTTACATGGAACATCTAAAATAGTGAGATCCATAGACTCTCACAGTGAAACAGTGGTCGCCAGGGGCTGGGGGGAGGGGAAAATGGGAAGTTAGGTTCAACGGGTATCAGGTTTCGGTTACAAGGAAGACTGAGACCGCTCCAGAGACCCCCTGTCCCATGTGTGCCCATCCCCGCAACGCCGCATTGTGCCCCCAAAGACGGAGCTTTCCCACCACGGGATGAAAACATTCTAAAACTTTGCAATAACAAATTACTCATTTACAAATGGAACAAAAGTGAGCCACAGCTATGGATGTGGCGCCTGACCACATTAACGCAATTGCTAACCTCGGGGCGTGCAAAAGCAAGCGTCGCAAAGCCAGGCTGCCCGCAGACAGCTACAGGGCACTGCTGGGCAAGGGGGCCTTCACCCTGTCCTCGGGCGGCACCTAACCCTGGGACCAGGTGGTGTGGGACAAGGACATGCGCTGCCTGTGACCACCTCTGTCGACGTCATCCCCAAAGCCAGGCTGGCACGGTCCCTGCGGGCACGCAGCAGTGCAGGAGTGCAGATGCCAGCTCCTGCGTGACTTAGGCATGTCACTTCATCCCTCTGAGCCTCAGCTTCCCCCTCAGCTGAATGGCAGTAGAAGCACTGCCCTGGCAGGGGTCTGTGAGGGTCCCGCAGGCCCTCCAGCTCTGTCACCTGGCGTGGAAGTGCTGTCTCCCTTGCCTCTGAGCAGAAACCGCGCCTTGCTCCTCCTCCCTCAGTGCAGGGGCCTTGGCCCCCTCCGCCCCTACCCAGCACCCAGCAAGCCCTCAAGAGCTGTGGGTTGATGGAAACGAACTGAATTTGTCCCAAGAGCTTCTCAGCTTTGCAGTTTGTTTCCATCAGTCTTTCAGGGGTGTGGCAAGAAAGATCGAACCCATGTAGGTGGGGACGTCGGCTCCCTCTCGCTCTACCTGGGACCTTGGGCACATTTTCTAACCTCCCTGAGGCTCAGGGAACTGCACAGCAATAAGAATTGCGGTCAAGTCTGTCAGACGCCCAGCCCACGTCTGGCACCTACTAGGCGCACAGCAAATGTTAGCCTCCTGTCCCCTTGAGTGAAGGTGAGCCTTTAACTGGGACAAAACCTGGTTACATCAAGGCTCCCTTTCCCAGCCCCGGAGTTGGCCCTGTGCCCGAGGGTTTGCCTTCCAGCGGGGAAATGCAAATTCCCCTTCCTCTCCCAAGTTCTTCGGAATTAGTGATTCGAAGTGACTGGGAACCTGAAGGAGCTGGAAGCCCTGGAGAGCTCCTTACTCTCTAGTGCAAGGGGAGGGCACGGCCTGAGCTGGGGAGAGGACCTGGGGAGACCGGGAACTAGTTTAACGACTTGAACATGAAAAAGAACAAGCCTCCTCTGGAGGGTTCTGCTCCTCAAGTTTCTAAGGTCACTTTGTCTCTCTCCAAGGACAGCTAGTCACAGCTGTGTGTGTGTGCTGTCCCCTCCCCCTCCCCATCTTCCAGGGACCCTGCCCACGCTGGGTCTCCGCACTTGCTTTTGAGACCTCATTGTCCGCCTTCCGGTTCGATGCCTGGTCCCTCCCACCTCATCCACAGGTGGTCATCAAGCCTCTCCTTGTACACCTCCAGGGATGGGGAACTCTCTGCTTGTGAAACCACCCAGTCCACCCTTTAAAACATCAGTCAGACAATCCTTCCTTGTGGCGAGCTGACATCTGACACATCACAGCTCCTGACCTTGGTCCTGCTGTTTTGTTTTTAGAAAAAGGACTCTACTTTTCTTGTTTTTTTAAAAAAATGTTATTTGTTTATTTTTAGAGAGAGGGAAAGGGAGGGAGAAAGAGGAAAGAAACATCAATGTGTGTATGCCTTTCGTGTGCCCTCTACTGGGGACCTGGCCCGCAACTCAGGCATATGCTCTGACTGGGACTCGAACCGGCGACCCTTTGGTTCACAGGCTGGCGCTCAGTCCACTGAGCCACACCAGGCAGGGCTGGCCCTGGTTTTGAACTCAGGGCCAAGGAGAACAAGACCAACGCAACCCACATCCAGGCTCCTCCTCCTAGAGAATCCCCTTCTTCAAAGTTCCGTTGATCCATCATGGCTTGAGCACCCGCCACATGCCGGGCCCCGTATAAGAGCCAGCCCTGGCATGAAGTGTCACGAGCCTTCCACCAGCACCGGCCCTGCGCTGGCAGGGCCACAGCGATGACAGGAGAAGCGGCCGCGCCGTCTACCAGCTGCAGGACGCCCGACACTGTGCCGTGTGCTTCGCCCCCTCCCTGAAGTTTCCCGCCCTTCTGGGAACGGACTCCTTGCTCCAGACTCCGATTCCAGGCCCTCACCTACGGGCTGGAGGAAATGTTACTCATGGGCTGTGGGCGAAAAAGAAATGCAAGTCCGGCCTCACCTGGGCTTCCAAGGTCAGGTGGACGCCCACGAAGCTAAGAGCTGGGTGCCGGCAGCCGATCACACCGCTCACAGCCAAGCAGGGAGTCCTTTCCTGAAGGGGGCTGAGTGCGCATCTCCACGTTTGCCCTGCTAGTGGCACAGGGCGCGGTCCCTCACCCAGGCGTAGGAGTCTTAAAAGAAGGGGCATGGGACCGGTAGAACAAACTATTTTTATGACTACATATACCACAGGAAGTTAAATCGATGCATTGGAGAAAGAGAGCATAACTTTTAAGAGAGATCTTTGTTCTAGACAAGTCTTTTAAGAGCTGAGCATTAAATTTAGCTGTGAGCTTCCTAACAGCCAAGGTGAAAAGGGGGAAAAAATAGGTCATAAAATTTCCTTATATTATAAGGCAGAGGTGTATGGCAGAGGAGAGAGAAATATTTTCCTGACCCGAAACTCTAAGATTCCTTTATCATATAAATGCTGCATTTCAAACTTGGTGGAAGTATTAGGAATACTCGGTGTAGTGCAGGATGCGGAGATGTTACTCATTCAGCTCCTTCTCCCATGTCTGCTTAATACATGCTAGGAAAAGTATTAACTCATAGCTCACAAAAGAGACATTCTGAAGCAATTTTTAGTACACTTCTGGAAATAACACCCAGAGCCTTGGGGGGCTTGCTTCTTGGAGAATCTGGAGCACGTTTAATGGCCTTTTTTCCCCTTTTTCTACTGAAGAGCAATTTCACATACCCTGTGGCTCAGAGCAGCGCTTTTTCCAGGGTGCCACCCACTGTGCCCAGAACGGACTGCCCACAGGAGCCCACGCCATAGCGCCTCTCCCTGTGGGACCGTGAGAATCACAGCGCTGAGGATTTAACTCTGCCCTCTCAAGCCTCTCCCACGGTCCGATTACTGCGGCCTCAGGGGTCTCCTCCGCCAGCCCGCCTTCCCGCCTCCACCCACAGAGGTTTACACAGTGAGGGTCTTGGTGACAAAGGGCAGGTTCACCGCGGCTGGGCATTTGCAGCGTTTCGCATGGAAAAGGCATTTCATTTGAATCCTGAGAAGACTGGCTCCCGGAGACCATTTGCCAAGGTTTCTGCATTGCAGGGGTCGTGTGGAAGGACCCTGGGGGCCTCCTTCCCATGGCAGAATCGGCTCCCGGGCACCCCGGCCAAATGGCGGCCTGACCTGCGGCTGGGCACGGCCAGGGGGGACGAGCACACGGGCAGGCGGGCGGTGCGCATCCGGGGGGCAGTGATCACACCGTGTCGCAGCGGCCACGAGAGGCAGGGAGGACCACAAAGCGTGTGCCCACCTCTGGGTAGAACCCTGGGCACGCTCAGCTTTGCCAGGGTACGATCCTGGGCTCTCCTGACTCTTCCCCCGGCCGACTCGGTGACCGTGGGCAGGCCCCTGCCGCCTCCCGCCCTGACAAGCTGTGTGTGCGGGCGGCGGGACCGCGCCCGCGGGGCCCAGCGTCAGACACGGCAAACAACCTGATCCCTGCTCAAAGTCCCGCTTGTCCCTGTGTGCAGCCTTCCAGCGGTTCCTGGGCAAGGAGGACGTGTCGCGAGAGGTGGAGGAGGTCCTGGCGGAGGACCGAGCGCAGAGGAACATCCGTCTGGTGTCCACGTGGGAGCTGCTGAGAACCCCCTTCGTCCGCTGGCAGGTCATCACGGTGGTGGTCACCATGGCCTGCTACCAGCTCTGCGGCCTCAATGCGGTGAGTGTCCCCGCACCGTCGGAGGAACCCGGGGCGAGCGGGGGCGGGCGGGAGGCGTGGGGGGCGTGGCTCAGGGCCCGCACGTCCAGGTTCCAATCCCAGCTCTGCCACTTCTGCCAGTTTGTGCCGTTGGGCAACCGCACAGTCTGATCCTCAGTGTCCCCTCCTGTCAAATGGGGCAACATAACACTGAAAAAAATAACCCACGCCAAGTGTCCCAGGCAGCAGCTGGCGGGTTTACCCCTTCACAACTACCGCCTATCAGTATGATGACTCATTCCTAGAGATACTTAAACGTCCTAGTTCTCAATAAAATGGGTATTAGGAAGTCATAAGGAAGAGACCTTGAGGTGATTTAAATAAAAGTTCCTGTGGCCGGGCTGGCTTCAACAGGCAACTTAGGCCTGAGAAAATCTCAAGGTTTAAAGGTCAGTTTCTTGGGGCCTGAGCTGATGTAGGCAGGAAGTGAGAAGAGGGGGTCCTTCCAGGGAGTCCCCAAACCCTCCGGTGAGCTCAGCTGCCCCTCCTCTCCCTCAAGGGCTCCAGAAATTGGAACCTGGAAACTTGGGGACTGGGGATGCAAACAGTGGGCTGCCTCCTGAGGTGGTGAGTTCCCCATTCATGAGGGTGTGCAAGTCAGCCGACAGGGTGTGTAGAGGAGGTTTTGCACAGAATCATGCAGTGCCCCCTGAGGCCACTGGCATAGCTCAGGAGACCCGTGGCTGGGCCCAGAGGGGACCTTCCACAGAGCCCAGGTGAAACAGCTCCCCTGCTCTTCCACAGAAGGGGCATGAGCCTGGCCACGCCCCCTCCCCCAGACCCAGTAGGGAGGGGCTGGAGGTGAAGGGGAGGCGAGATGAAAGAGGAGTCTTTTCCATCCAGAGAGGGAACCAAGGCAGCCTACAAACTTACAGCCAGGGTACGGTTCGTATCGGCAGAATGAGGAGGGGCTGAGGTCAACAGCATGGCCTTGGACGAGTCCTGCTGTTTCCTCCTCTTTACCGGGTCAAGGTCAGGCTTCAGGGCCTCAAAGCCACCCCCCCTCATTCTGAGAGCGCAGAGGGAGAATGGACTCGTTTCTTAAAGCCCAGGCTTGGAGTCCCAAGAGGCATGTGTGGGATCTGTATGTAATGAGAGGCCTTTAGACTGGGGGCCATGACATTTCCGAACAGAACTCTCGCCCACACTGGGCTGTCACTTTCTGATGTGCAGGCCCCATATAACTATAAATTCCACTAGGGTGTGTCTGTAACCCGATGGTGGGAGAAAACTGGCCGGCTCCCCAGGTCGGCAGCGGGGAGAGTGGCGTCAGAGTGTGGTGCGCTCTTCGCGTTGTCTGCCTTCCGTGGATATTTGTATTGTCGTGAGGACATCCAGCAGGAGGCCCACCCTCTTAGAAAACGTGTAAGGGTGCCACACACTATTGTGAACTGTGGACACGATGTTGTACGGCTGATTGTTAGAACGTATCCTTTCTCCGTAACTGACCCTTCTCACCATTTCCGAGTCCCCGCTTCCCCTGCTCCCAGCCCCTGGCAGCCACTGTTCTGCTCTCTCCCCACTTCTGTGAGGGTGACTGTCTCGGATGCTTCACTTAAGTGGAACTGCGCAGTATCTGTCCTCCTGTGACTGGCTTACGTCGCTTAGGGCGACGTCCTCCAGGGTCATCCGTGTTGTCACAGATTGCAGGGTTGCCTTCTTTTCAGGGCTGAATAATAGTCCGATGTATGTGTAGACCACGTTTTCTTCATTCATTCATTCATTGATACACACTGAGCACATTTCCACATCTTGGCTCTTGTGGATAATGTTTTATTGAACACAGGACTGCTAATAACTCTTCGAGAGCCTGCTTTCAACTCCTTTGGCTAAATACCCAGAAGTGGGATTGCTGGATCATATGGTAGTTCCAGTTTTGGTTTTGTGAGGATCTTTCTTACTGTTTTTCTTAGTGGCTGCACCAATTTACGTTCCTGCCAACAGTGTGCAAGCGTTTCAATTTCTCCACATCCTCACCAACATTTGTTATCCCTTAAAAAACAAAAACAAAAACAGCCATCCTAACAGATGTGAGGTAGTATTTTGTGGTTTTGATTTGTATTTCCTTGATAATTAGTAATGTTGAGCATCTTTTCATATACATGTTGGCCATTTGTATGTCTTCTTTGGTAAAATGTCTATTCAAATCTTTTGCCTAATTTTCAGTAGAGTTATTTGGGGTTTTTTTGTTTGTTTGTTTGTTTGTTTTGTCATGTTATTTTTGAGTCGTAGGAGTCCCATACATTTTGGATGCTAACCCCTTTTTAGATACGTGGTTTGCTAATATTTTCTTTTATTCTGTAAGTTGTCTTTGTCCTCTGTTTGTTTCCTTTGTCACACAGAAGCTTTTTAGTTTGATGTCATCCTACTTGTCCATTTTTGCTTTTGGTGTCACATCCAGAAAACCATTGCCAAGACCAACATCATTGGCAAATTTTATGGAAATAGAAAAAAATTCTCCTGTTTTCTTCTAGGTGTTGAAGTCTTATGTTTAAGCCTCTTGCCTGTTTTGTATGAAGATGAGGGCCCAATTTCATTCTTTTGTATGTGGATATCCAGTTTTCCCACCACCACTTATCAAAAAGACCAACTTTTCCCGATTATTTATGGTACCCTAGTCAAATGCCAGTTGACCTTTTACACAAGGATTTATTTCTGGGCTCTTTATTCTGTTCCATTAGTCTATGTGTCTCTTTATGCCAATACTATATGGTTTTAATTCTTTGTAATATATTTTGAAATCAGGAAATGTGGTCTCCCGTTTTGCTCTTTCTTAAGATTGTTTTGGTTATTCATTGCCTTTTTGTGGTTCCCGATGAATTTTAGAATTTTTCTCTTTCTATAGAATATGCCATTGGAATTTTGTTAGGGCTGGCATTGAATCTATAAATTGCTTTGGGTAATATGAACATTTTTAACAATATTGTCTTCCAGTTCATGAACATGGGATATCTTTCCATTTATTTGTGGCTTCAATTTCTCTCATCATCGTTTAGTAGTTTTCAAGTGTAAAATTCTTTTACTTTCTTAGTTAACTTTATTCCAAAGAATTTTATTCTTTTTGACGCTGTTGTAAATGGGATTGTTTTCTTTATTTTCTTTTTGGATAGTTCATCATTAATGTACAGAAGCACAACTGTCTTGATTTTGTTTCATGCAGCTTTACTAAATTTGTTTATTAGATCTAACAATTTCTGCGTTTGTAGGGTTTTCTCCATAAGATCATGTCATTTGCAAACAGTGATCATTTAACCTTTTTCTTTCTGTTTTGGATGGCTTTTCTTTTTCTTGCCTGATTGCTCTGGCTAGGATTTCTAGTACTATGTTGAATCAGAGCAGTAAGCACGGGCATCCTTGCCTTGTTCCTGATCTTCCAGGAAAAGCTTTCAGTTGCACCCCTGAATATGATGTTAGCTGTTGGCTTATTACACGTGGCCTTTATTATGTTGAGGCAATTTCATTCTATTCTTAGTTTGTTGAGGGTTATTTTTGATCTTTGTGTCAGGAGTAATACTTCTGGCTTGGGCTGCCTAACTTCACACAAAGCAAAGACCTGTGGACTGAGGTCCAGAAGCCTGGCTTCCTGCATGACTGGGGCTGCCAACCTGTAGCAGGAAGCCTGGCCCTCTGTCTGCTCAGCTGTAATATGATTAAACCCATGCTTGGTTAGCACTTAACATGAGCTGGGAGCCGATCCCATGAGAGCCCTGTAAGCCAGGCACCCTGTGTGTCACAAAGGCAGACAGAGATTTGCCCTCATCCACCTAGTAGCTGACATGGTAGAAAGCGATTTGGGCACAACCGTTTGGGCACAAGATCTAGAAGTTTAATCCCCAAGCAGGAAAGGTCCCCAAAGCTCCTTCAGAGATTCCCCATATGTGTCACTGGGCTTTGTCCCCTGGTCATCCTCAGGCAGCTAACGGGACAAGCTTTACTTATGTTTTACATACAAAGGGACAAACACTGGGCCGCAGTGAATCCCAGCATCCCAGCCCACTTGTCCTGGGCTTCTGTCCAGTCTCCCTCCCTGTACCTGCTGCCTTTCAATCCAAATAATCGTGAGACCAAGGAAGAGCGCTAACAACACAGGGGAAAGCTTTAAATGCCCTTGGCAACTTGCCTTGCTCTCTTAGTTTTACAGGAGACTCTTTTGGGGACATGGCCTGTAGTGGAAGACAGTTGTAAATACTGCTGGGCGGTGCCCCATTTATCACTTTATTCTGGCCCCAAATGTCCTGAAGGGCTCACGGTCACAGTAGGTGGTGTCAAATCCGCATGTCCTGGCACCAGGTACCAGGAGCACCCACCCAGTTGACCAGGTCCCCTGTACTCGGCCAGCGCTCCTCAGCCTCAGCGCTGTGCACGTCTGGGTCTGGAAAATTCATTGTCACAGGGGCTCCGTCCTGTGCGGTGCTGGGTGCTTGGCAGCATCCCTGGCATCCACCTACTCGGTGGCAGAAGCCTACCCCACCAGTTGTGACAACCACTAATGCCTCCGCACCTTGCCAAAGGTCTTCTGGTGTCGAAATTGCCCCTGGTTGAGAGCCACCGTATTAAACAAACATTACATATTGTTCAGTACATTTTTGCTAGAGAGTCGATGAGTGGTTTTCACATTCTTTGGAAATCAAGCGAGAGTTCTATTTAGCAATATTTAGTTATTTTTAAAGTCCTTTTCAGTGCTGAATTGTTTTTTCCCTCCTCTTCACAATAGCTTTTAAATCCTCGTCTCTAAAATTAGACCTGTCACTAAAATTCCTTCCTTTATGCACTGCCTTCGTCCTGAGCAGCCTGTCCTTTGCAGGAAAACCAGACTTTTCTGCAAACGTTTGGTCTCCCACCTGGGAGAGCGGGCCTTCTGGTTGCTGAGCCCACCCCCTTGCCTGGGGCCGTTCCCCTCTCCACGATCACCTTCAACGATGAAGGCCACGTCTCATGGTCCCTGTGTCTCCATCGCCCAGAGCCGCGTGGCCAAAAAAAAAAAAAAAAAAAGGAATAGGAGATGAGAAAAATGAAGTGCAGGGAGGGAGGCCGCTGTTTCCACCAAGCCCTTGGGTTGAGAATTGGATCAATACCGACTGTCAAACCTGGTGCAGGGAAGCCGTAGCTTCCTTCAACTTTCTCAGGTCTTCTGGATACCAAGGACTGGGGTGGGGCTTACCCACCTGCGGCTGCCCTCCCTTCCTCTGGATCCCTTCCTTCTTGAGCTGAGGCAGCCCATCAGCCTGACTCCCCTGGGCCTCGGTTTCCTGTTGGGAGAAATGCGGGTGATCTGCACAGCTGCCGTGAGGATCGCACGAAGTCTCGGACGCAGACTTTCTCACAGGCGGGAAAGGCTCCGCTGGGGTTAGATGGCCCTCCTGTTACTGGCAAGGCAGTTGCTCGCATTTTCTTCTCTCCCGGTGCCACGCATTTTCAAACGTTGGTGCGCCTGAGCGCCGTCCTGCTCACGGTTTCGGGCTGCTTGTGGGCTCTCCACCGCTTAGGCAGCGTCAAGCTCAAAAAGACTAAACGACGCTCATTTGGCCTCTAAGGCACTGGGTCCCGAGCTAAAAAAGAAGGGTAGAGCGTCGGTGGTGGAGACAGAGGTCCAAAGCCCCTCCCTCCTGGGGCCCCGCCCCGTGCGCCAAAGGCCCCGCCCACCGGGAGGGGAGGAGCAGAGGAGCGGGCGGGCGGGGCTTCCGCTCGCAGCACACCCATCACTATTTGCTGGTGTCCTTTACCCAAGAGCGTTCACGGCTCCACAGACGCAGAATCTTCTAGAATGATACCTACCATTTGTTATGCACAAGTTATAGAAAAGATGCTCTACTTAAGCATTTAAAATTTCTTATGGCGCTGAAAGATGGAGTACGACGACTCCTTTCAGAGAATGGAGGTTCAGAGATGCGAAATCAGCCGCCCGCAGGCCCTCGGGTCCCCAGAGTCAGAGCTGGGGCCAGGCTCGCGTGGGCAGGCCTCCGAACGGCGGGGTCCGCGCAAAGCCCACTCCGCGGAGGGTCCGCGCGGACACGGCCCACACCTCCTGGTGCCCCCGTGTAGTACACCACCATCCAGCTGCGTGAGCGAACCACCCTCGGCTGGGAGCCGAGGCCCGGGCTCCTGCTATGCGGACGGAGAGGGCAACGGCTTTGTGGAGCCAACAGGCTGAGACTGGCGGTTTGAGTGATGGGCAGCCCTCCCTGGGGAGGGGGCCAGCCCTGCGCGACCTCCCTGCGGGCCCTGGGCTGGAGGGAGGTTCTGAAGGGCCGCCTTCCGCCTGTGATGCATAAGTGCCTTTAAGCATGCGATGCTGACCGCGGGACTGCCTTCGTAACGGGCCCCCGACCCCATGAGCGCTGGCGCAGGATGAGCCGCTTGCTAACACGTAAGCCCTGCAGGGATGCCCGCGGCCGAGTCACTGCGGGGAGACTTGGACTCAGGGAAGACGCGGGTAGGCGGGCGTGTGCGGAACCAGGCAGGCGCGTGGTGGGGGAGGCCAGGGCGTGGCTTCCACGGGAGAGCACACCGAGTGGGATCGAAGACTGGAAGTCTCGGGCACACCAGTGGGTCGGGGCCTGGGGTTAAGAGCCCGGGCTAGGACTAACACAGGTGTCAGAGCCACCTTGCCTGGGGGCCAGCAGGCCGGCGGGGACAGTGGGCGGGAGTAGGGGGGGTGGGGGGGTGTGAAAGGGCCCATAGAGACCCTCGGTGACTGAAAATCAACAAACTGAGGGGAAGATCAAAGAAGGCAACTAAGCTCCTCTGACCGAACCACGAAGCCAGGTCTTCAAGCTCCGAATCAGAGAGTGTCTGATGTCCTGCGCTTGTCTTGCTAGGGTCAGGTTGGCCTCAGGGACCTGAACAATGTGGGTTTCCTCTCTCCTGTGAAGGACACCGGGAAGGCTGGTACCGCGGCCCGGAGAGCGCATGTCCGGGTCTGCCCAGGAGAGCGCCCTTTTATACGTGTGACCTTGGCATAAGTACGAACACTCTCAAAAGGGCGCAGGTTTGGGAAATGAATTATAGAGCCGCTCTAGTCAGTAGGGACACAGGCTCCTTCTCACTCCCTCCTGCTCCAACATCTGGACAGGTGGCTTCCACCCCAAGGCAAAGGCTCTGGCTGTCCAGGTCGTAGTCTGCACAACGCCCGGAAGCACCATTCACATTGTACCCATCATAGATGTAGGATGACAGTTTTCCAGTGGAGGACAGTAGACAGTCTTATGAAGCAGAAACCTTTCTACACCCCACAATGTTACCGTGGAGGCTAGCGGCAGTGCTGTTCTGAGGTTACCCAGTGACCCAAGAGAGCTGCTGGAGCTCCAGCTATCACACTCAGCATCCAGAAAGGAGGAACGGCATCAAATGGGGTCACACCTCCTTGAGGAAAAGCTCCTGTCAAGGAGACGTCCCTGAAGCACCACTAACACTCTTGTTTATAGCTGATTGGCAAGCTTAGCTGAGTACATTTCACTCCTAGGAATGTAGGAGTTTTATTAGTAATGAAGAAGGGAAAATGCGGGAGAAGGGAGAAGACAAGTAGCCGGCCATGCCCTGTAGCTCCACTTTGTGACTCTGGATTTAGTGGCAGATAGCAAAAGGGCATCATGGGCCTGATTTTAATTTAGGGAACAGACACCCCTCACTGACCCTGCTCCCTTTTTCTTCTTCCCTGCGTTATAGATTTGGTTCTACACCAACAGTATCTTTGGGAAAGCTGGGATTCCCCTGGAAAATATCCCCTACATCACCTTGAGCACGGGCGGCATTGAGACCTTGGCTTCCATCTTCTCCGTAAGTAAACGGAGGGTTATTTCTGAGAACAGCGCTGCTCCTCGGAAGAGGTAAATGACTTCACACTCCTGGGAGAGACAGAGAGGGCCTTTCTAAAATCAGAACTGGGTGTCACAGCCTCTGCTGCCACCTTCCAGTTTGGATCACGGTCATTTGGATCACGTGGGTCCTGGAGGCTCAGGAACCTTCTCGTGGCCCACGGTGGGGAGTGATGGCTTCATCGCCCTGGTGGTATATTTATCCATGCATTTATCCATGCATTTCCGGGAACAGACTTTCCCGGAACCCCCGGAAGGAGCATTCACCCCACAAGCAGCTGTGGCGCACGCATACCACGCTCATGCTAGCACATCACCAGTGAAATGCTCTGGAGAGACAGGCCCAGAAACAGACACATAGCATGTGCAGCATGGGGGTGAACTCTCCCGTGCAGGTGTCCAGGAGGGCTTCCTGGAGGAGGGGCCCAGGAAGCCGAGAGCTGAAGAGCCAGCAGGAGTCAGCCAGGTGAAGGGAGGCAGAGTGTGCTGGGCAGCCTGTTCCAGAGACCTGTGAGCCTGTCCCCAGCCATCTGCCCTCCTCCCTTGTTTACCTTCTAAGAGAGCTGGAGATGCAGACTAGTCTCTTGGACACAACAGTCCTTAAAATGGTAGCATGTACTTTAATCCCTAGAAAATAATGAGATTAAATTCAGCGTGAGTCTGGGAATCTGAGACAGAAAAATGTGCTGGGGAGAAAGAGCGTTGGCTTTAGGGCCTGGCAGTGCTGAATCCAAATCCTAATCATCCTTTTACCAGCTGAGTAGCTCTGGGAAGCTTGCCCGATATCTCTGAATTTATTTGCTATCTTTAAAATGGATATAACCATGCTCATTTGTGGCGAGCAGAATACCACGCCCTCCCCAAACACCCCCCGCCCCTACACACACACATCCTCATTTCCGGAAGCTGTGACTATGTCGCCTTATATGGAAAAAGAGGTTTTGCAGATGTGATTAAGTTAAAACTCTTGGGATGGGGGGCTGATCCTGGATTTCATGGGGCCTGGTGACTCACAAGGGTCCGTGTAAGTGGAACTGAGAGGAGGGGGGCTAGAGTCCGGGAAAATACAAGGACGGAAACAGAGGCTCCTGCGGTGCAGCCCTGGGCGCGGAGGGCGGACCGGGGCGCCGCCGGCCGAGGAGGGCAGCAGGCGGGGAGGCGCTGGGGGGAGCAGGAACGGACTCTCCCGGAGCACCGCACCAGCACCCCAGATTTCTGCCCTCCAGAACCGTAAGAGAAAAATGTGTTCCGTTAAGCTGCTAAATTTGTGGCCTTCCGTGGCAGCAGCCACAACAATGACTCACCACCATACAGAATCGTCATGGAGACAAATCTCCAGGTGCCCGAAGGCCTGCTGCACAGAGCAGAGCCGATGGAGGAACATCCCAGCCCTTGGTGAAGATTTTATTACCTTGTTTCCAAAAATATAGAGTCGATTTCATCCAGCCCTGGGAAGTAACTGCCTATCAAAAAGGACTTTGCAATTTTGTGTCCTTTTTTTTCAGGGAGGTTTAGGCAGTCTATGAAAAGGGCCTCAGGGCCTCCTCCTCTGGAGAAAGGCATTTTTGTTCCTTGGATTTGCGATTAACGTGGCCTCCGGGCTCTGCTCCTCAGCGTGGGTAGCTGCATGTAGCTGCCATCTTGCAGGAGCAGCTGGCATTCCAGACTGAATTTCTTGGTGGGCGTGAATTCTCTGATGAGGGAACTTCCACCCAGTGCCATAGCGGCCGCAGGAGCCCGAGCACGCACAGCCGGGCGGGCCAGGGACCTGTGAGGGGAGGCTCATTCGGTCCGCTGAGAAGCTGAGACGCGGTGCTCTCTCACATCTGGGGAGAAAGACAGAATCCACAGAAGTCATTCGTACTTTGTCTTCACCGCTGTGAGTTTGTGTAGCTGTCAGGAATGGGTTCTGCCACAGAGTTGAAGCAACAAAAGAAAAATGTCCTATTGGTTTCCACCACCTACAGGTCCCCTCTGGTTCCCCACCAACCCCACAATTGCAGGAACCCCTCTAGAGTTCACGGCTGCACCTCAAGCCCCGGGACCCCGCGTGTTAGAGGAGACAGTAAGACGAGGAGGCCAAGCAGAGTGTGGGCGGGTGGGCTCTGTGTCTCCTGGCCCTGCCTGCCAGCTCAGGGGAAGACAGCACGCTGTCTGTGCCATGCCTGCCCCAAGTGCCGGCTGCTCCCCCACCGCCCCCACTGCCCCCGGGCTCTCGGCCCGTGTCCTGCCCGCCTTGCCCTGACCCCTCAGCCACCCGCCAGCCGGCGGCTCCTTCTCCACTCCATTTAAGAGCTTTCTTTAAGAGCGAACTTTCTTTCCATTTGCCACAAATTGAGAACGGCTTTAAATTTATGATTATAAACCTCTTGAAAACTATCTTTTCCTTCCAAGGGGGGCAGGAGGGGAGGAGGCATCTCCCCAGGAGCCGCAGAAGCTGTGGCTTTGGCCCAAGGGAAGCTTCCCCAGGACTTGAGGGCTTGCAGAAGCCTGGGCTGGGCCGGCCTCTTCTTGGAGTCCAGTTGGCCCCGATCTGCGTCTGACTTTGCACTTGGGTTGAAATGTCTCAACCCATTTTAATTTATTATTTTTAGGGTCCATGAACCACTCTGGGATGACAATTATTTAAGTGCAACTTTCTCATTTTTCATACCTTTGGCCCAAGTAGATATGCAGGTCTCATACATTCATCTCGTAAACAGAAATTTCCAAACAAAGTTTATGTTTCAATGAATTATTTTTAATTTTCAGTTTAGAGAGAGCATGTTTTAAGTAGAAAACTTTTTCTGACCATGTTTTCTGAACATGGGCTTTAGAATTCTCTTCACTTGAGAATAACCGCAGCTTTCTAAGCTCTCGGCTTCTTTTCAGACAGAAATTAGTGAAAGCAAAGGTTAACGCTTGCATATCCCAAACAGAATTGCTGGCAGATGGAAGTAAGACAGAAAGCTGACATCTCTTCTCCTGCAGCCTGCCTTCGCTTGCTTTCCTGAGGCGGAACTGAGTCAGCAGTAATCAAACCCTTCCCCCATCCTTGCTCCCACGTTCCCATTGCTCAGGCTTTGGCAATAATCCAGCTTCTGCCTGGAGAGTCACTAACTGCTGGGCTGGCAAAACTCCTCAGGGACCCCACCATCCCCAAAGTCTCAAGTTCAAGGACGGTCTGGAATACTTGAGCACTGGTCCCAACCATGGCAGCAGCATCTTGCTCCGGCATTCAGGGTGTGCTGAGGTATATCCGTGTGTGTGTGTGTGTGTGTGTGTGTGTGTGTCACAGTGGCTGTAAATAAATGGCAGTGGTTATTGTCACATCATACCTCTGCCATCCCTGGTCTTTGCGCCTTCCTCTAGGCTAGGCGCTGGCCCAACTAACACCCAGTCCATAGTTTCTTAGTTAAGACTCGTTTAAAGCCTCTCTGAGACTCAATTTCTAGATATAACAGGGGAAGCTAATAGCATGTGCCCCACAGGGCGTTGTGAGGATTAAATCATTACTATTTGCACAGCATCTGGAACCAGGCCTGGTCCCCAGTAGGTGCTATGACAATGTTCAGGTCACAGTCATCAGGACAGTGTGGTTCTTTCCTAAGGATGCCATACAGAACAATGGAACAGAACAGAGTCCAGAGACACAAAAGATGCCAAAGCTATTTAATGGGGAAAGGTAGTCTTTATGGAGGATACCCAACCTTTTGGTGTCTCTGGCCACCCTGGAAGAAGAGTTGTCGTGGGCCACACATTAAATATATTGTGACACATAATCAAAAAAAAAAAATCGCTTCCTGTTTTAAGTCAGTTTATGATTCAGGGTTGGGCCACCGTCACAGACACCCTGGGCTGCATGCGGCCCGCCAGCCGCAGGCGGGACACCCCGGCCACAGACGGTGCCCTGAAAAGGAAATATTTACATGGGAAAAAAGAAAGGGAATCCTTATCTCACGGCATATACAAAAGTTAACGCAAATGGCCCGAGGAGTAACACGTGGACGCTAAGATGCTAAAACTTGAAGAAGGAAACACAGGAGGAAGTCTTTGCAACCTTGGGCGAAGCAACGATTTCTTCGGCAGGACCCAAAAAACATGAGTTGGTTTTAAAACGGGTTTTAACTGGATCTCATCACAATTAAAAGCTGTGACTATTTACAAGCCATCGATGAGGAAATGAGAGGAAAGCCAGACTGGAAAATACTCACAGAATACAGGGAACTTGAATCCAGAATATATAAACAATGCCTGGAACTTGAAATAAGAAAGACCAACAGCCCAGCTGAAAATGAGCAAAAGCCTTGAACAGACACTTTACAAAAGAAGATAACAAGAACACCAATAAACAGATGAAAAGATGCTTGACATCATGAGTCATCAGGGCGCTGGAACTAAAACCCACAATGAGATGCCAGCATTCGCCGTGAGGATGATGCAGTGGAGGGTCACACCACGCATCCCAGAAGATAAGAAGTGATGGAACTTTCACCCCCTGCTGGTGAGAGTTGAGAATGGCACCGTCTTTGGAAAACACTGGCGGTTTCTTACAAAATTTCTACCTGAACAACCCAACCGTTCTTTTCTAAGTATTTACCCAAGAGAAATCAAAGCACACACCTACACAGAGACACGAACGCCGATGTTCGTAACAACTTCATGCAGAAGAACCCAAACTGGGAACAGCCCGAATGTCAACCAGCTGATGAACGAAGAAACAAGTGTGGCGTAACCTTGCAGCGGATGTGATGCAGCACTAACAGGGAGTGAACTGTTGGTATACGTGGCAGGGGTGAACCTCAAAAGCTCAGTGATCACCTGCGTGGAACCCCACTCTAACCTAGGCTGAGCGAACCAGCAGTGATGGATCAGCGGGTGCCGGCGGCTGGGGGACGGGGCTTGGGAACTTTGGAGGGAGCGAAATGTGCTGTAGCTCGTTCTGCTCGTAGTTTTATGGGTGTATAAGTTTGTCAAAACATACCAAACTGTACCACTAAAAGGGTACACTTTATTGACTCTAACTAAACATTAGTAAAGTTGGGTTTTAGATACGAACCCCCCCCCCCTCAGTTCTTTTTACCGTTGTTCTACCAGATGCCCTAGCGCTGTGGGGGCAGTAGGTGCCAGGTGAGCGGATGCTGAGCGCCTGACTGACTGGAGACCCCAGAGGGGCTCTCTTGGGAGCAACAGGAGGCTGACAGCCCGTCCGCAGCGGACATCGGTGACCTTCAGAGGCTGCTATTCACCTGGAGTTAAAGTCTTCGCCCATGACTTTAACGTTGAGCAGAAATACCTTGTGAAGCCTAATCCCTTCTGGCAGGCTAGGACTTAAAGGAGACCTTCCTGGGCCTTACAGGATGCAAGGGGTGGAGGGAGCCCTGCAGACCGATTTGTTTCGGGCAGGAGGAAGGGGGTTGCTTCCACCTCTTCGTTCTCTTTCCCAGCTCTTTGGTGTCTTCCTAGACCATCTTCAGAGACTGTTTCCAAATCAGGGGGAATGTTTCCAGCTTCACTGGGCTCACGCTATTGGCTCCTCCGGAGACTTTAGGGAACAAAGCGAACCCAAAGGCGCGTGAGAGTCAGCGTCGCGGCGTAAGGCAGAGCCTCCTGGCTGGTTGTCCTGGGGACGCGCCTGCTGACTCTGGACTGGTCGGTGGTGCTTTGGAAGAAACTGAAGAAACCCAAAACAAAAATGACTTTTTAACTGGAAACACGGACATCAGCAATGCCCGTTAATCTCAGCATGGCCACCTCGGGGCTCAGTGTGTCCCGATGGCTGTGTTGCCTGTCGTGGTCATTCCCCAGCCATTTCAGCTCTGTCACGGGGCACTCTAACCAAACTGCCCCCCAACCCAACTCTTACAAGGCAATGCTGCCCCCTGTTCCAGTCACGAGTCCCCTGCGTCTTCAGTGCCAGAGGAGTTCTGGGCTCGCTGCCCCATGAACCATAAGGGTGGCTTGGGCCCCTGAGATTAAAGCAAAATCACACCCTACACGGCGACGGAAGTTTGCTGGCGCAGGTGTTGGAAATCACTGGGCACGGAGAAGGAGTAAAGACTTGTAATTTGGGGGCATAGACATCTGTGTCTCCGTGCTTAAGCTAAGTCGACCTTTTAGTCTTAATTTTGTAAGGTAAAAAGGCGCATTGTAGGAAACTTGGAAAACGCTGGCAAATAACAAGTGAAATAATAACCACGTAAATTAATAGCCCCAACCCGAGTTAACCGTTATAACCTATTTCCTTGGTGCTCTTTCTTTGAAGTGGGACGGGAAAGGGAGAGGCCGGGGGCCCCTGGCAGAACGCAGCTTACGCTCTTAGTGTTGGAAGCCGGCTCTCACTGGACCCGCACAGGTGCCCCCCACCCCCGCCTGGTGGAAGGGCAGTCGGTGCTCCTTTCACAGATAGGCCCCTGGGGCTCTGGGAGGGGAAGTCCCAGGCCAACGTTCACCCATCAGGGAAGCGGAAGACCTGGGATAGAAGACCCAGCTCAGCCTGTCTCTGAAGCTGGGCTGCAATCACTGTTCTCCGGGGGCACTGGCGTTTGAAAGAGCTCAGGGAAGAGCCCCGTGCTGGCGCAACTGGAAGGCAGATACAGGGCCCGCAAACGGGGCCGGGGACCGTCCTACAGCTGCAGGAAGCTGGGTTGGGGGCACGGCCTCACGGGCTGCCGTCACCTGGGCTTCCTGGTGCCACACCCAGAATGAAACGGACCCCCGCCCCCCGCCAGGCATGGGCAGAGTGGGAAACGAGGGAAACTTCTCTGCCCGCTCCCACCCCTGCGCCCCCGCCTTGGGAGCGCGCTGTCTAAAATCCACAGCGTGGGGACGCAGAGGATAGAGACAGCGTGACCCTCAGGCAACCTGGCTCCCAAGGGCGGTGGCAAGGGCTGCGGCAACCACATCCTTTCGGCCGCTTTCCCAGACCCCCGGCAGATAAGCGCCCTCCCCTGACAAGGGAGATGTGGAGGGAAGGTGAAGGTAGGGACACACTGGCTCAAGAACTGTGACTCCCTTCTCTCTTCTTTTCTCGTAAAGACCGTCACCTCACCAGCCTGTCTCAGGTCAACGCCATCCTTTCACCAGGGCCCCCAGGCTGGTCCCCAGCCCCACAGTCCCTTCCCTGCTGCTGGAAGTGGAGTAGTAACCATCTGTCTGTGACCCTGACCTAGGGCTTGGTCATCGAGCGCCTGGGGCGGAGGCCTCTCCTCATCGGCGGTTTTGGGCTGATGACCCTCTTCTTTGGGATCCTCACGGTCACGCTGACGCTGCAGGTGAGACCTTGTGCCTGTCGCACCCTGGGGAGGTCCGCAGGGAGCTGGCTTGCGGCTCCGGTGCCCAGGGCCTTTGGCGTGGGAGGTTGGCGCCGTCCGCAGACGCCTCTTGCACTTAGGCTTCCCCCGGGCCTCTCTGCCCTGCGGCTGCGGGGAGGGGGTTCGGTGATGGGTCCCTGGACTGCGAGACGAGACGCCTGATGAGCTGTGTGGTCTTGCGCAAGACACGCCTCCTCTCTGAGCCTCTGTCTGTCCATCTGCGAAATAGAAGAGACGACTCCAAGACGCCTGGCACTGCTCTGTGAGGCGCTTACACAACTGTCACGTCGTTGGCTGGTGGGGCCAGCCGGGGCTCTGGGGCCAGACCGCCTGGGTGTGAGTCCTGGCTCTCCCCCTTTCTCACCGTGAAACTTCTGGCAAGTCACTTAACTTCCCCGCTCCTCCCGTCTGTAGAACAGGCGGCTGGAAGGGCTCAGGGGTCATCAGGATCCCCGGTTTCTGGACGCTGAAACCAGGACTCAGGCGTAACGTGACCTGTCCGCAGTCACGCAGAGGGATGGAGGAGGCACTGGGGTGGGAACCCAGTCCTCGACACACCTGCCCCCTCACCTGCGCACTGCTGCTCTCTCGCAGGACCAGGCCCCCTGGATCCCTTACCTGAGCATCTTCTGCATTCTGGCCATCATCGCGTCCTTCTGCAGTGGCCCAGGTAAGGCTCCCCCTCCTCCTGCACCAGCTGGCCCAGACGCTTACGGCACCGCCATGGTCGGGGTTCCATTGTGCGGAGGGACGTCCGGGGCCCAGGGAGGGGAAGGCCTGCTGGGGAGTGGAGGGGGAAGAGAGGGTTCCCAGGCATTTAAATGCAGCCACTGCCTTGATTTCCATCCCACCGATGGTGGGTCACATGCTCTGCAAAAGTGTGTTGATGATCACGTATGGCCACATCGTGGCAGTTTGCGGCGTGGGAGCCTTGAGCCAGACACGCCAGTTTGGGATGAACCGAAGGTGCTCAAGTTGCACCTGTGCCCGCCCATAGACGAGCCACAGTTCAGTGTGGAAGACGACGTGGTGATGATAATGCTGGTGATGGCCCAGACCTGCGGTCACTGGCTGTGTGCCGCACTTAGCTCGTGGCCGCTCAGCGGGGGGTGTGGGGGGGTGAGACAGGAGGAGCCTCACATGGAGCCAGCAGGGACAGAGGCCTGTCACTGGCCCCTGGCTGCCGCCTTGCATTGCCTGTAAGGGTGTGCAGTCTGGAATGTTCTAAGCCATTCACCCAGGACTTATTCCAGCCCCAGCTCTGTCATTGCCCTGGTGGGAAAGTCCTCGCCTCTCCTCGGGCCTCAGTTTCCCCACCTGCAAATGGCCAGGGTGGGTGAGCCTGGGCGCCTGCTTCCCTGGCTCCGGGCTGGGCTCTTGCTCCAGCCCCCGCGAGGCTGACCCTCCTGCCCCTAGTTCGCACAGGAGGGGCAGAGGCCCGGGAGGTCGCGTGGGCCCGTGGCCCTGCAGTGGGCGGGATGGCAGTGTCTGCGCTCCTGGCTACTGTCGGGCGTGAGCAGTGTCCCTCCAAGATCCGCGTCCACCCGGAGCCTCAGAGTGTGACCTTGTTTAGAAACAAGGTCTTTGCAGATGTGAGCCATTAAAAATCTCGACCCTAAATCCAACGGCCAGAGTTCTCATCCGACGAGGGGGGCACACAGACACACCGAGGGGAAGGCGATGCGAAGGCTGAGGCGGTGGGGCTTCAGGTCCAAGGAACCCCAGGGGTGGCCGGCAGCAGCAGGAGCCAGGGCGGAGGCACGGGGCATTTCCTCCTCGCAGCCTCCAGCGGAAGCCAGCCCTGCCAACACCTTGAGCCCAGACTCCAGGCTGCCGGGACTGTGAGAGAACGCATTTCTGATGTTTGACGTCATCGTGTCTGTAGCGATTTGTTACGGCGGCCCCAGGACCCTCACACGGGCTGCGAAGTTAGCAGAAAAAATGCCCTTGCCCCCAGGCAGCTGGAGAGGCAGGGCCAGAGGGCTTTGGGAGTGAGAGCTTTGCCTCATCTAACACTTAACACCAAACAGATGCGTGGCGGCTGCCCCGGAGCTTCTGGTGCCCGTTCTGCTCACTCGGGAAGACCAAGGGAGCTTTAAAAATTAATAGGATTCTCTTCTGTAAGCTGAGCACCTGGGCAGCGCTGGGTCCTTGGCCACTCACCCGATCCCCGTAACCTGCTCGGAGGAGAGGGCCTATCCCCTTCCCCTGTGAGGACGCCTGGGCACCAGGGAGCCCGCCCAGCCCCCGCACCACAGGGCACCAGCTGGCCCAGGCGGGATGCGAACCCGCGTCTCCCCAGTTCTGAAGTCTCAGCTTTCCTGCCACCCTCCCTCTGGTTGTGCTTAGTTTTCCTTCTTATCTCTTTCCCACGCCGAAGGCAGAGTTCACGAGTGAGCTTATCTCCTGAGGCGGGAATATGAAAATAGAGCAGTGTTCGTTACAACTTTCTGCAGATCCTCTCCAGAAAGGACCATCCCTCAGAAGCAATCCTGTAAACGCTGTTCTAGGGCCGACAGGGAGCTGTCCGGTGCTTCTGGGAGAAGCCAGGGTCTTCAGCAGAAACACGCAAGGGTCCGAACCTCTGCCTGTGCAGGCCCTGGGGTCAGGGGCCAGCGCCCAGCTCCTAGGACTCTCCTGTGGCATCAGCCAGCAGCTGCCTCCCTCGCAGCTGTGCCTGGGGCTGTCCGGGAACGGGCAGAGGAATGTGTCATGTCACTGCTCCTTGCAAGCAATGAGACAGTGAGAGCTGGTTGTCTGAGTGTGTCCATGTCCCGTGGCTGCTACGTCAAAGCCCCCCAGACCGGAGGCTTCACGGGACAGAAATGCACTCTCTCGCCAGTCCGGAGCCCGAAGGTCTGACAGCAAGGTGTGGGCAGGGCCACGCCCGTGCAGAGGCTCCGGGGAGAAGCTGTCCCTGCCTCTCCCTGGAGGCGTCCCTGACCTGTGGCTACACCACACCGTGTCTGTCTTCAAATCGCTTTCCCCTCTGCGCGTCCCAGAGTCCCTCTGCCTCTTTTTTTAATGGGGCATTCAGGCCCCAGGCTGGTCACCCAGGATCAGCGCCTCCTCTCAAGTTTCCAAAGTTAACCACATCTTTTGCCATATGAAGCAACATTCACACGCCCCAGGGATTACGAGATGGGGTGCGGCCGCATAAGAAACGTTGAAACCTATAGGGAATTTTATGAGTTTATTTGAGCCAAACTGACGACCATGGCCAGGAAGAAAATCTCAACAGATTGAGAAAATGCTCTGGGAAGTGGCAGTTTTGCCATTTATTTCATACAGCAAAGTCAAAAGGGAAGACAGAAGGGGGTTCCAGGAAATCCAGCAGTGACAGGTTAGGGAGGCGGAGAAAGCAAAGCAGGGGACATTTCTGGGGTTGGATGAAAAGAAAAAAGGAATAGGCACCCACTTCTTTCCCTAGGCGGGTACACGTTAGTTAACAGTTAACAGTTAAGTCAATACCGACAACAATGAGGGGCTTTGTGGTCTCTGCCCTGGCGCCGTGAGGGGTCAGCAAAAAAGGAAGTTACTCTGATATCGCAAAGCTATATCAGGTATGTCATCATAGATGCAAAAAAGACAACAGGCAGGCTCAGTTAAGATGTAAAGATTGACCTTTGTTAAGGGGCATTTCGGCCTGGGGCAGGAGTGCCCGCCATGAACCGCCTTTAGTGAGGAAGCGTTCATTTCAGACCGTCCCGTGTGGTTACTTTCGGCCTCTGAGTGTGTGAGGCCACCACACAGGCCTCCCCTGAGCTCGTCAGGGTTCGTATGTGGTCCCTCTGTCCATAGGTGAGTGGAGCAGCACCCCTTCTCCTGGGGGAGGCGTTCAAGACTCAGCAATCGCCCACATCTCCACAAAATCCCCCTCCTTCCTACCGTCGCACCCATTTCTAATCTCAGAACGGGAAAGGGCTCAGGAGCTGGGAACCGGTCCTGCTTGCTGGCCTTCCTCTTGCAAACGTGCCACCGGGCGACCTGGAGTTTCTTGCTTCTGAGGCCAGATGCGGCCTCCGTTTTAATATCCTGCTCCCCGGGCCATGTCCATTCTAACTGGACGCAATGTGGGTTCAAGGCCAGGGGCGGTTGCCTCGGCTGAGGAGGGCTGGGAGGCCTGCGAACATGCACAGACCCCTGATCTTGAGGAATGAACGGGAAGCAGCTGGGGGTGGCGGGGGGGCCCCTCGAGGGGGGCGGGGCTGCACTGCTTTCCTGTGGCTGCGGTTACAAAGGCGCACTCGCCTGGTGGCTCAGGGCCACAGAGACGTGCTCCCTGGCAGCCCCTCAGCCCGGAAGGCACGATCACGTTCACAGGCCGAGTCGCGGCGTGGCCAGGGCTGGGCCTGCTGGCTCCAGGGCCATCGGCTTCCTTGCCCTCTCCCACGCGGTGGCTGCCGTCTCGGTCCCCAAAGCCACCGTGCGTAGCAGCTCCTCTCCTCTCTGCTGCTGCCTCCCTTTTTAAGAACCCTGTGGCTACACTGGGCCAACTGGATTGGACAGGATGATCCAGAATAATCTCCCCACTCAAGATCCTTAACTTAATCCCGTTGCAAAGTCACTTTTGTCATACAAGGTCATGTAAGGTCAAATATTGACAGGCTGCGGAGTTTCCGGTGTGGAGGTGTTTGGGTGGCGAGACGTTCCAAGCAGTAACAGCATTTCCCGCGGCCTAAATGCGTGAGCTAGCAGGACACATTTGGGAAGTGGGCGTGGAGTCCAGGTGGCCGGTGGTGTCATGGGGGGTGGGGGCTGTGGGTGTTAGCGAAGGGGACAAAGAGGGAAGGAGGACCAGATCAGCCCAACCTCGTGTCCTCAACGTGCATAGCGATCGTACCAGTCTGCTCAGGCTTCCATAACTGAGTGGCTTGAACAACAGATTTTTTTTCTCACAGTTCTGGATGTTGGAAGTCTGAGATCAAGGTGTCCGCAGGTGGGACCCTTCTGAGGCCTCTGTCCTTGGGATGTAGACGGCCATCTTCTCCCGCTGGCCTCACGTGGCTGCCCCTCTGTGTGCGTCTGTGTGCTACTCTCCTGTTCTCATAAGGACACCAGTCAGATTGAATAGGGCCCAGCCAGGGGCCTCATTCACCTTAATCACCTCTATATAGAGCCAATCTCCAAATACAGTTACATTTCAAAGTGTTGGGGTTAGACTTCAGCACACGAATTGAGGTTGAGGGGGACACAGTTCAGCCCAGAACAGGGACTAAAAGTAAAGAGCCTGGATCAAGAAGCCCCCCGGCTCTCGCCACAGCTGAGGACAGGGAAGGGACCAAATAGTTTGGCCTCTTTTCTTCGTTGAAGATTTTCATCTGTTTTGTGCGTTCCTGTATCTGTAGCATCTCTAAATGAGGTCCTCAGTGCCCAGCTGCGCCCCAGATGTTGGCATAAGCTGCTAGGACAGCCCCCGCAGAGCTTACGCTCCTAATGAAAAAATATATGACTATAAAGCCAGGTCATCGAAAGTCCCAAGGGGAGGAGGGGACCAGATGAGGAAATGAAGAGGGATGGGACAGGACAGCAGGGGCCACATTTTAAGTGAGGTTGCAGGGAAAGACCTCCCAGGGCCGGCGGAGGTTGAGCGAAGGTCTACGCCAAGTCAGGCGCTGAGCCCTGCAGACGGGCACCTAAGGAGACCCTCCCAGGCAGAGGAGTGACGGAGGCAAGAGCGTGCCTGGCCAGGCCCCTGAGAGGCTGCCCACTGGGGACATCGCTTAAGCCACAGGTGGAATTTTAGCCACATTCAAAAAATAAAAAAAGAAACAGGTGAAACCACTTTCAATAGTATTTTGTACTTGGTCCCATATATCCAGAACATGGTCATTTTCACATGTAATCATTAGGTAAGATGTGTGCGTGGATACCTGGAAGTTCTTTTTCTATAGCAAGTCTTTGGAGTTGGTGTGTGGTTTATGCTTAGAGTACATCTCGACTCAGACTGGCTGCATTCAAGAGCTCAGTAGCCCCTGTGGCGAGGGGCGTGCAGGTCAGGGCAGCTCTAGGGTGAGTGGGAGCCGCGGGGCTGCCAGGGACCAACTGGGCCAGTGGGAGCTCAAGCCAGGGAGTGGGAAGGAGGCAGGCCCGGCGGCCGGGTCGGTGCCGCTGTTGGACCCCCGGGCAGTGGAAGCCATCGGAGGGCTGTCATCAGAGGCCGACCTAACCTGATTTCTATTTCAAATGATCGCGTTGGCTGCGGAGTGGATAACGGAGCAGAGGCACTGTGCCCCAAATGCCCTCAGAGAGCTGCTCTGTGGTGAGCCTTTCACTAGAAATAGTCACAGTAATGGCAATGGTACAGCAGGAATAGGCAGCCACTTTTACATCATCCATCACCCTGTTGGGTCAGTGCGCCCATTTCACAGATAAGGAAACTGGGGCTCAGGGAGGACGTACTTAGCCCCACGTATTACAGTTAGTATCAGAGCAAAGGCTGGTGCCCGTATCCCTGTGCCCACGGCCTCCCCCACCCTCCTGAAATCGCTGGCTCGGGGCGGAGGTGTCCCAGGCGAGGCGCCCGGCCAGCCGTGCCTCGCTGCTCCGGCTGCATCCTCGCCCAAGGGCCATGAGCTTTGAAACGCTCTCCTAGCCAAAGCGTGGGCCCCGGGGCCAGACCTCTGCACACCGCGCCCCCGCAGGGACCTGGCGCTGGCTCGCCCACCCAGCCAGGCAGCTCTGCGCAGACCGTCCAGATCCGCTGCCCTCTTTTATGTTCAGTAAGGAAAGTAGGACACTTAGCCTGCCTGCCACATGGCACCAAGGGAGAGGCATGGGTGTAGGGTCACATCAGGCTACCACTCCTGTTCCTTGTGACATCCTTGGGAAGTCACTCAGGCTCACAGAGACTAACAGCCTCCACCTGACTAGGCAGAAAGGGCTGTTTAGCGGCAATGTGCCGTGCCTGGCACAGGAAGTGCACGGTAAATTTCAAGTTCCTTCCATGTCTTCCTTATTAAGGCAGACTTCAAAATATGACGTGCCTTGCTGGAGAAAATTCTAGAACAGGCTTCTCAACCACAGCACTACTGGCATTTGGGGCCAGAGAATCCTGCACATTGTGTGTGATGTTGTGCAGCCTCCCAGCCTCTCCCCACGAGCTGCCTGTAGCAGCTTGTTTTAGCATGACAACCAAAAATGTCTCCAGGCATTGCCAAATGTCCCCTGGGGACAGAATCACTCCTGGTTAAGAACCACTCTCATTACTTTGTGGTTTGAAATAAGTATAAGCTCAAGACTCAAACCCGCATGGCCCCATCTCTTACTGTGTGATTTGGGGCAGGTCTCTCTCCCCCTCTCCCTTCCTCGCTTCCTCACCTCTTTCCTCCTATCTGAATAATGCTATCTTTTAGTGTGGTCCCCATGTGTCACCTATTAAGTCCTGTGCCTTTCCCCAAAAGCTTACGTGATTCGTGTCCATATCACAGATGGAGAAACTGAGGCACAGAGAGATAAGGCGCCCATCAGGGGTCACACAGCCAGTAACAGGCACGCCGGTTCCAAGCGCGGTGTCGTGCGTACTCTGAACCGGGAGGCTCCCGGCAGGTTCGTCACAGGAGCAGCTGCGTGCGTGGCGCTCACCGTCTGTGACCGCGGCAGTGTGCGCTCTGTCACCTGAAGGCTGGTTTCAGCACATTTCGTGTGTAGCCATTGTCCTCGCGCGTTTTGACGGATATCTTAAAGATACAGAGAGGCCTCTTCCTCTGTAGGGGGCAGCGCATCCAATCTTTTCAAAATCAAATTCTGAGTGTTTGGTTCAAGTAAGAAATAGTGGCCAAGTACACGCTCTCCGCCTGCCTGTCTTGCGGGGACGAGGGCGGGTCTGTCCTGAGTCATTTTTGATCGACTCAGTGAGTGGGAGTCCAGAGCTCGTGGCTGTGGCAGGGGACAGAGATGACAATGGTTGGAGAAAGCTCCGGAGCGGCACAGGCGCGAGCTGGCCGCTCTGTGACCTTGGTTGTCCTAGAACGCGCGTGTGGTCACGTGCAGTGCTCGCACTCCGAGCTTTGCCTCCGTGGGGTGGAGGGTCTCTGAATTCGTTCCTCCCTTCCATCCCCGCTGCCACCCTCCAAGCCCACGAACAACCACACCCCTCCCCGCCCCCGCGCTGCCCAACCGCCTCCGCCGCCACCTGAAACCCCCATTGGTCTTCTTCAACAGCAACCCTCTCCTGCCACCCGGCCACCATCCGGGTCCTCTGTCCCTTCCTTCCGCCGGCAGACCGGCCGGCCTCTGTTCTAGACCTTGACCCGATCCCGCTCACCCTCCGGGGCTCTGCCCTCCCACCCCTCCTCCGGACCAGATCTGCCCCCATGGTCACGAGCAGCGTCTGCTCCTCGAAGCCACGTCTCCTCGGCCCCGCCCGAGCGCCCTCCTGCCCGCTGCTGACACAGGCGCCCATCGTCCTGAGCGGCAGGCCTCCTGCGGTTGTAATCATTGATTCGTCCACTCACTCCCTTTTCCACAAACAAGTCATCTTTTCCCATCAGATGAGGGAGTCCCATGAGGGCAGGGACGTTGTCATTCTTGGCCACTGCTGTGGGACCAGCCCCAGTGCAGTCAATATTCATTGAACGTGGATAGAATGAGTCAGCCCAGCGGCTGCCACTCTGGGGCTGGTGAAGGTTCCCCAGGGCTCCCCTCCCCCTGCCGCCCTGTCTTGCCTGGGGACGCTAACAGGTGGGTCTGACTGGCAGAGGGGCTCCAGCTGAGAAGGGGAGGAGGTGCAGCAGGACCCCCAGTCACGCTGAGCCCCAGGGCCTGGTCTGGGCACCCGGCCCAACCCTGAGTCTCAGTGAGGGGAACATGGCGGGGGGGTGCAGACCTCAGAGGCCATGAGCCCAGCCCGGTGCCTGAGGGCACTTAGAAATCAGAGAAGCAGCCTGGGTTGCCACGGTGACTGGGGGGCCTGCTGGCCTCAGGACCGGGCGGTAAACATCCAGTTCTGCCCACACAGGACAGCCTCTCAAATTAAGAATTGTGTCCCCCTATGATAATGGTATTTTCACTGACAACTCCACTGCCGGATGACTCAGGAGGCCTCCACCCATGCAATCGAGGGGCGGCGATAAAGAGGGCACAAGTTGACGAGTTGGGCAGGGGCACCCACCCTCTCGCAGGGAAGGGGTGGCAGGAGAAGCTGAGACCTGGAGGCCAGGGTCCCAAGCCTGCATCCTGGCTCTACCCCTCGGGAGCCGGGAGGCCCTGGGTGAGGGCAGCCGCCGCTCTGGGCTCCCGGGCCCTCGCCCAGGAACTGGGTGGCCAGTCCCTGCCTGGTCCAGTTCTTCCAGAGACGAAACCACGCACATTCCTAACGCCGTGTGCTCCGTAAGCATCAGTGGCCTTGCAAAGCAGACAGTACTCAGCGGCGGCGGGTCACCGCTGGGTTCAGAGGGCATGTGGGAGCCGTGAGCGTGGCGCGTCTCTCGCTTGGATGACGCAGGGCAGCAAACAGTCCTCGCACCTTTACGAGGTGGGGCTGTCACTCCCGCCCCCGCCCCCGAAGCCATCGCTCACCCAGGCAGAGGGGCTCTTGCCGAGAGGGCGCCCTGCATCGGGAGGCGGAGGCGGGTGCTGGCGGCGCAGCCCCCGCCTCGCAGCGATGACACCCGTGCCCTGGCTCTGCCTGCAGGCGGCATTCCCTTCGTCCTGACCGGCGAGTTCTTCCAGCAATCCCAGCGGCCGGCGGCCTTCATCGTGGCGGGCACCGTCAACTGGCTCTCCAACTTCGCCGTGGGGCTCCTCTTCCCGTTCATCCAGGTACGGCTGCCCGGCCGCTTGCCCACAGGGTCCCCCGTGATTCAGCAGTGCCCTGAGTGAGCGGTGGCTCAGAGCAGAGGCTGACTCTCTCAATCGGAAACGCAATCTGTTGGCCCAAGGAAGGGAGAAGTGGGCCTTGGCCAATACCCTTAACCTTCTTTCTGCCCCCCTGCCCCGCACCTCACACCTTCCGGGAGCGACCCCTAAATGCGGGGGGCTGCTTCAGAGGGAGAGAGCTTCCCATCGCTGCAGGTATGGAAGGAAACCTTGGTAGAATCTCGAACCGGCAACCTGCTCATCATTTTTGCTACATGTTCATCACTGTGTTAGACAAATTTCCTATACAGTCATGCACTGCGTAACAGCAGTGTGTTGTGAAGAGGATCTCTCTCTTTCCAGCTGGCTCACCTTCAGCAGGGTGCCCACCCAGCTACGGGCGGATGGTCTGGAAGAGCCAGGAGGGAGGGCCCGGCCTCTCTGCAGGGCCACGCGGGGTCAGGGCAGCAGGGCCAAGGAAGCAGGCGGTGGGGGGGGCTCTGTGAGAAACGGGGGCTGTGAGAAGGACGAGCCGAGCATGTGGCAGGTCTCAGCGTAGGAAAGGAAAGCCCAGTGCGTGTGTGGGCGTCCTCACAGCCTCTCTGCCAGGCGGACATCAGGCCTTTCCCTGGAATCCTCTGGAGATGGGTTTCGGGGCCCTGAAGGATGGGCAAGTCCATCATTACAAGTCCGGTCCTTAGAGCTCGCTCCCCTGTACAGGCCAAGAGGGCGGGCCCAAGACTCATTCATTCATTCCTTCATTCTGTAAACCCTTGGCAAGTATCTACAACATGCTAAGCACTTTGTGAGGTGCTGGGGCCACACTGACGTAAGACCTGCGTGGTCCCCGGGGGCTCCAGCCGGGCTAGCGGACAGGGGCGGGCAGGAGCCCCGGGGCTGTTTCGCAGGGCAGAGCATGAGAAGCCCCACAACACGGTGTGCACGAAACGCAGCAGCTCCTACGGAGAACCCCTCGGTCCTGGGCAGCGCGGGACAGCTCATCACCCCGTCCCTCCCTTCCCAGCACTCCCGGGATCACTTCCAAAGGAGCTACTTGCCTTGCCCACCCACCTCCAGGCTCTGTCTGGGGGCCCCAGGCAGGGGGGGGGCCCTGGAACACCGCCTGCCGCTCCAGCACAGAGCGGCTCGGCAAATGGCCGCCTCAAGGCCTGTTTGCTGCTTTGAAGGTCCTTACTTGCCAGGTACTGTGTTCAACCCAAATGACACACAGGACAAACGGCACAGACTTTGGGGTCAGAGAGGCTGGCCTTGAACCCTGGCTGTGCCGCTCAGCTGGTCAAACGCGGCCTGACTTTGGTCACCCTGTGCTTTGCAGCAGCGCCCCCAAAAGAGTCAGAGAGAGGCGTCAAGGCCGGAGCTTGGGGCTGCCCGGGGTACTCAGGGAAGGTCGCCCCCTCAGTCACAGCTCCTCCCCTAGGGGGCGCTTCCTGCCGTGCCACCGAAGGGTCGCCAGGAGGAGGAGAAGGGACGGGAAGGAATTCATGCTCAGCGCCCGACGCTGACGCTGCCCCTAACCAGCTGAGCAACTGAGGACAAGTCGCCTCTCCAAGCGGGACTTCTGCGCTGCTTCTTCCCTCTTGGCCTCCCGTCAGCCCCTTCCTGCGAAATGTGGGGTGTGTGGGCTGCCTCCCGCCTTGGCGGGTCGCGGCACCGTCTCCCTGCCCTCGGCCCCAGGCTGCCTTTTCCCCGGGGCCTGGGCTGTGGTCAGCGTCAGGGTGTCCCTTGGGCCGTTCATTGTAACAGTCTGCAGGCCACTCGGCCTCTGGCGCCCACACCCTGGTTCAGAGAAAATGACGTGCAAATGTGACGCCTGCCTGGTTCCACTGGTCAGAAACTTCCGTGTGATGCCATAAAACCTGGAAGGCGGAAAAGGATTCTTTTCAGCTTGAAAACCGTTGGGTCCTGCTCCAAATGCCTACGCAAAGGGAGGGGACAGCTGACGCAGCAGCTCTGGGGCGGTGGGGTCCGAAAGCAAGCACAGCGCCCCCTGGCCGCGGTGGCGTCCCCGGTGCTACTCCTCGGGGCTGGAGGCAGGGAGGGAACATCTCACTCAGCCGCCAGTTGGTGCCGGGCCCGGGGGACAGGAGGCGCCCAGGAGGGGCACAGTCCTGACTAACATTTCAGGAAAGAACAGACCTGACCCTCATGGGGACAGAGGGAGTAAGGTTTCACAGGAGAAGGCAAAAGGGGTGCCTCACTGGGCTGAGCAGCACAGGGACCCCTCAAGCTGAGACTGAGGAAGTAAGGGGGCGGGGAGCGTGGCTGGCTGGGAGGAGGGAGAGGCGCAGAGCGCCCCAGGGCCCGAGGGGACTGGGCAGGACAGGGGGGCCCAGGCCGAATCCCCCACGGCATCCGGGCAGGAGAGGGCCTGGGGGGTTGTCCCCGGGACTCCGCAGAGCCACGGCGCGATTTTAAGACAGGCTTCACTGTGTGCTTTTACAAGAACTCTGGCCGCCTGGTGGGACCCGGATTCGGGGCAGGGGCAGGAGAAACAGGCCAAGGTGACAGAGGCCAGAACAGTGGCCAACCCTGTGTGAGCGGGGGGAGGGGAGGGCCGGGCACCAGGGCCTTTCTGGAGGGCTGGAGAGGCTGCGCATCTCGCTCAGGTGTTGCTTGCGTGGGCGTGTGCTTTTTTCCAAACTCGTTACACTGAGCACTTAAGGCCTGCGCAAGTCACTGGATGTAAATCCTGCCTTGGTGAAAAATGTGTGTTTTAAAAAAGAGAGAAAAGCTGCTTCAGGGCAGCCCTCCCGCACCCACCGCGACGTAGTGATGCTTCAGCAGCTCTCAGGGGCAGCGGGGCAGCGCCGAGCTCCTCAGAAGTAGAACAGGGGACAGGAAAAAGGTGACGCTAGAGCTCTGTGCCAGGTGCGTCACAGGACCGGTGGCACTGAATGAATTTGCACAAAGCAGGCCAGTACAGAAGCAAGACAATGGCCTCCAGATCAGCCAAAGTTCAAGTCCAGGCGCAGCCCTTACCAGCTGGGCGACCACAAATAAATCACTCTCCCATCCTGATCTCCATTTTCTCCCCTGTAAGAGATGGGTAAGATGTCCTACCTCCCAACTGCTGTTGGGGAACCCTGTGGGACCCCAGAGACCCTTCCTGCCCCCACCCCACACCCAGCAGCAAGCGAGCAAGTGGAGAGAAGTAACGGAGGAGAGGGCGTGAGCTCCCGGGCAGGCGGACCTCGGTGTGAGCCCCGTTTCCCGCTGGCCCCTGTGTAGCCTTGGACGTGTTTCAGGATGTCTCTAATCCTCAGTTTCCTCCTCTGAGATGGAAATAAAAGTGGCTCTATCGCAGTGTAGCTGTGGGGATCAGATGAGGTCATGTCTATAATATTGCTGGCAGCCAGGAGGGGCTTAATTAGCACCTGTCTCTTCCCGGATTAAACACAATCTCATCCTGGAGGTAATGCCAGGTCGTCACGGTGACAGAGGATCTGGGATGTGACCCACAGATCAAGCTCATAAAGCCCTGTGTCATACTCCAAAAACAAATGTCACATCAAAGGATAGTACGGAATTGACTAAATTCAAGATACTGCTTTTTGTAAAGTATCATTCAAAATAGTGTCACCTTCTCTTTGGGTCCATAGATGTTTGTTGCATGAAAAAGTCCCAGCCCTCACAGCTGGAACCCATAAAGTCTTTTATTTAACAAGCATTTACTGAGCAGCGACCTGAGCCAGGTGCTGTGCTGCGCACCAGAGCCCCAGCGGTAACCACATCATTGAGAAGCTCAAGGTCAAGCGCAGGTGGCAAGGTCGTTGTAGCCCAAGCATTAGGTGTCAGATTCAGGATACATGACTGCACTCAACCCTTCCCCGTTTTCTGGTCTCCCCTATGTGTACAAGGCTGGATCCGAGTGCCAATCAGCGAGTTACATCCTCTGCGTCTCAGAAAAGATGATGTTATCTTGGCTTCGTCCACACTCCATATTTTTCTCACGAGCTGAGGAATTTCACTTCCTTTTGACATCACACTTTTCTCGTGTGTATATTGCGGGGGAGGGAGAATGTGGTTGTCAGTAAGTATGAACTTAAGATAATGTTAAGCAGTATTACACTCTGCTTCCATGGTGATTCAGTTTTACATGCCTACTTTTCAAAAATGAAAGATGTTACTTCCTCTTTACAAGCATCTTTACAAGCTGATGCATTCACGCCTCAGGTGAGATGTCTCAGGTAGATGATTGAAGGCACGTTTGCCGCTAGAGCCGGCCTCACACGGGCTGCAGTCTCTCCAGGAATGTTGGCTTATGCATGGGGAACTAGAGAAAACAGTCCATTCAGAGGTAGTTTCACGGCCAGTTTAGTGATGATCTGATTGATGGTTTTTGTTTCTGCGTTTCCACAGAAAAGTCTGGGCACCTACTGCTTCCTGGTCTTTGCCACCATCTGCTTCGCAGGTGCTCTCTATTTATATTTTGTCCTGCCTGAGACCAAAAACAGAACCCATGCAGAAATCAGCGAGGCATTCGCCAGAAGGAACAAGGCAAACCCACCGCAGGAGAAAATCGGCTCAGCTGTCACGGACGATAAGACCGGCGAAAGGCCCACACCGGACAAGAGCGCCCCAAATGGGGCTGTCTAAATGGACGGTCTCACCGCCCCCGAGAACCAAAGATCCCCCTACACATTTAATATTATTATGTATTTAAAAATAAACCTTTGCTAATCAACCCTTGTGACCATTTGGGCTTTATTCATGGCTGAATCCCTCCAACGCTCCTGGAAGCTGGAAGGAATCACCCCACGTTTTAGTAGATCCCCCACCCTTCCGTTCAGACCCAGAGCCTGCCTCCTTCCTGTCTTAGCCCGTGGTTTCAAAATGAAATTGGGGCACTGGCACTCGAATGCCCTCTCAGAGGAAATCAATACATTCTGACACAGGACTTTAAGGGCTGAAAAATCACTGACTACGGTTCGAGTCCCAGCTCTACTGTAAGCAGCTGTGAGCTGCTCCCAGCCCAGATCCTGAAACCCCTCAATGAACCATTGGCTTTGGTCCTGGGTGAAGGTTTTCAGAATTCAGTTGAAAGGCTCTTCACACCTGATAAATGCCTGTTTCCAATTGCTGGTGCAGCCTTGTGGAACTCAGGCTCGGCGGGGGCGGGGCGCCTGCGACCAACCCACTACCCTCTAGGCTGAGCCTTCGGGAGGCTGTATCCCACAGGCTCAAGACCCCCAACCCCGAAACATCCTCCCCTCAGAGAATCTGATATGCCACAGAGAACAGAAAGAGGGTCAATATGTTAGACCTAGAGGGGCCATTGTTAGAAGCACATTTTTAACAGGTGGAGCAGGCCCTGCCGATCGAAGCCTTTTCAGTTGGAAAAAAAACAGTGTTAAGAATGATTCTGAAGCGGAACCTAGGTCCGGTGGGAAAGAACATGGCGCTTGGTCAGCAATGTCTGCCACATGTGTGCTTCATGCTTGCCAGTCCTAGAAGAGACCTCTGAAAGCCCGTGTGTTGGCCAGGGCTGTCCAGAGGAACAGAAACGTGCATCGGGCACGCCTCCGGGACCGCGGGGTTGGCTCCAGACCAGTGCCAGAAAGCAAGTATCACAGTAGAGGGAGTCACGCACATTCTTTGGGTTTCCCAATGCACGTAAAAATTCTTTCTACATGTGACTGCAGTCTACTCAGTGTGCAATAGCATTGCATCTAAAATACGGACATCCCTTCATTTACAGTCCAGGGTGCGGCGGAAGCGAGGCCTGCCGGAGGGAGGTTGGCAGGGTAATAGTATGGGCAACATCATTTATAGTTTTAATTTGAACATGTCACCAAAAATGTCATATGGCGTGCTCGAGTGTGATCTTGTTATGTCACAGAATTACGTGCTTATGATTTTGTAATAGAAGGGTAATACAAGGGCGTTATTTGTGGCAGACCCTGTATTTATTGCTAAACATCGCTAGCCGCCGCCTGAGCCTTCAGCGAGTCGCCGTCCTTTTGCCGGGGGAGGGTCCCGCCTCAGCGTGGAAGGCTGCTGACGGGTCGGGGTGGCAGTTGCTGAGGGCTGGGTGGCCGTGGCAGATTTTAAGCTGACAATGAAGTTCGCCACACCCACCACCTCTTCCTTGCACGAGCGCCTCCCGTGTAGCACGCAGCGCCGCCGGGCAGCATTCTACCTGCAGCAGAACTTCCTCCAAAACCGGAGTCGGTCCTCCCAGTCCCTGCCGCTGCTTCCTCAGATAAGTTTATATAATGCTCTGAATCCTTTGTTGTCATGTCAACAACCTTCACAGCATCTTCCTCAGGAAAAACGGCGCCGATAGACTTGCCTGGCGCAGCGGTGCCACAGACCTTCAGGGCGTAAAAACCATGGTCTTTCCAAAGGGCAATCAAACCAGGTGTGCCTGTGAATGACTCAGACCCTGTTCCAACCCGAACTAGCTGGGACCTACACGAGTCGTCTTGGCTGCTTCTCCTCATGGATGCCTGTCTTAAAGAAGACAGACTTCTCTTCCTCCTCTCTCTCCCCCTCTCTTTCTTCACTCCTCAGTGCCCCAAGAGTGCTGGCTTTTTAATCGCACATTGCAGCGCCTCTTAGTCTCTTCCTGGTACATGCTGGACACCAGGAAAAAATGGCATTTATTGGAGGGAGGAACAAATGAAAGAACATGGATGCAGGGACAGGCGCGCTGGCCACCCACCTTGGACCACGAAGTCAAAGGTCACCCGCCAAGGGCACAGGGCAGGGAGCAGCCAGGATCCTGGGTTTGGGCTTCCTGGAGCCGGGATGCTGTAACGGCCTTGAGCTGCCTAGCAACGACCTTGGTTTATGAGAGTCAATAATTCTATCCTGTTTAAGCTCCTTTCATGAGTAGCTTCAAGATTCAGTTTCTCTTACTCCTGACGAACCCTAAACTCAGTTCATACAGGGCCTAACAGGAAAGAGCCAAGGCAAATGAGAAACATGAATCAAATCTCGCTCTTTCCACGCTCAGCAAGTGGTTTCCCCGGGCCGCAGGTGCCTGCCCGAACGCAGCTTTGCTTCGGAGCTGTCTGTGGTGCTGAGCTGGGTTTTTCGGCCGAACAACCCTAATTTCTCTCCTTTTCAAGTTTGCAAGGTGCTTTCCCATTCATTATTGCCTATGATGCTGGAGAAAACCCGTGAAGTGACTATTCCTGGACTCGTTTCATTTGAGCCGAAGCCTGGTCTTTTAGCTCTAAGTCCAGCCACGTTTAACATTCTTGCGCCCCCTCTTCAGGACCTCAGAAATCGGGCCCCGCCCCCGCCCCAGGACAACAGCCCTGCTGTGCGTCCCTACCCGCGTGCCGCACCTGGACACTGATCCCCTTCCCCTGCGACGACCTGCCACCCACTGACCTGTGGCTGACTGAAGCAGGTAATGGTCCCCGTGAGCCACGCCCCTGGCCCTGTGTCACCCCTATCGCATCGAAACCAGGCTTAGCAACACAACTGCCTTTGGCCATGGAGACGTCAGAGAACATGACACCAGCAGCAGCCTGATAAGGCTTCCCCCGCTTTGAATGCTGACGTCATCGCGTCAGGGAGCCCCGCCTAGCCTCCTCGAGGATGAGCGCCCCATGAGGAGGCGGGGCCCCAAGCCAGGCCACCCTCCCACTGAATGTAGCTGTGTGAGTGAGTCCATGAGAAAGCTGCAGAAGTATCCCCCAACCAGTTCACAGAATCACAAGAAGGGATACACTGTTGCTTTAAACTGCCGAGTTGAGGCATGGTTCCTTCCATCACGTACAGATAGCTGATGCAGACCCATTATTCTCGGTTACACGTTCTCATTCACTGAGTTAGGTAGCACTGCTTAGAGACGATACCTGAAACAAGAACAGAATTGACGTTCTCTGGAGCGAAGTCTAGTTCATGCGTCCTGCAACGTTTGTTGAGCACCTACTATACACCTGTCCTAGGTAAGCGGGGTACAAACGTGGATGAAACCAATGTCTCGCCTCCGGAGGCTGAGAAGGTGTTTGGAAAGACAAGCCACGGACAGTCAGCACAGTCGTTTTCCTCCTCTCCACTTGGAGAGCGTCCGTTCAGCGTTGAGGCCGGGCTGAGATGCTGCTGCCTCTGGAACGGCCTGGGTTTTTTCCTTCTCATTTCCTCAGAAGCCTGTGTTTGCCTTCACGGAGGACTTGTCACTGCATGAAGTCATTGCACTGTGGCCACCTTGTTCTGCTTGAATGTCTTCCCTCCCATACTCGGAGGTCCTACAAGAAAATGACTGATTCATCTCAGAACTCCATGTTCCCGGTAAGTGCTCACTGGAAATTTACCGAACGACTAAATGCCACGACAGCGACAGGAAGAAGACGCGAGGGGACCCCTGAGGAGAGGATGACTGTGGCTTTGAGGTGAGTAGGAGAGATGCTTCTGAGTGGCCGCATGTGAGCTGCGTCTCGGATGGGGATTCGAATTTCATCCGACTGAGAGGCAGGGGAGGAGGAACCGGAGAGCAAATGGTCCGTGACGTGGGAATAACAAATTCCGGGAGTAGCAGACTGTTGCTGGGGACGTGCGGGGAGGGCGGGGGGTCAGGCTGGTCGGTGGTTTGGGTCTAGACTGTGAGAAACCATGTGTGGGAGCAACGCCCTTCCCTCCACGGCTTCCTTCTCTGGCTGCACATAGGCCTGTGCAGAAAACACCCTCTCCTGATTCTACCTCTTACAAAAACACCTGGTGGAATGCGGGGAGGTCCGATCATCCTAAAGAGGTCATGAGCCAAAAAAGGAGGGCGGCAGCGTTGAGTGACAAGGATGCAGCAGCGGCTCACAGTTTCAGACGTTTGTGGGGACTTCCGCTAAGATGTGGGTGTGATGATCCTTATCAGAATCACTTCCCCTGGCCAAGTTGTACATTCAGTCAAGTAAATTTCCTCTCATTAAAGCACTGCGTTTGAAGGCTGCACTTTGTCTCAACAAGAACGAGAGCCTGGCAGTAAGAAAGGCAAAGGGGAAAGGAACATGGGTTCCCCGCGGGAAGGGTCGGCGGTGAGGATGGAGGCGGCTCCGGGACCCGCACCTCTGGGGTTTAGAGCAGGCTCCCCGCCGCTCCCCGTTTGGCCAGCGGAGAACGTTGCGCTCCATGTAAGGTCCCGAAGCAGAAGAGAACATCTAAGAGAAGGTATTTTCAGTGGCGGGAGCAGAGACTTCAGAAATGGGCTTATGGTCTTAGCCCATGAATGAAAATAAATACTTTTCTGGTAGAACTACGTTATTAGGTGTTTTCACACATACGATCCCCTTTGGTTCCCCCAAGACTGTAAGGTAGCTGTGCGCATGCTCATAATGTCCATTTCTTTTCTTCTTCAAACTCCACGTAGTTCTAATTAAACAGCCTGGCTCGGAGGTTGGGGACACTGGATATGTCCTATTACCTGCTAAATCCCCAGCACTTACCACAGTTTCTTACACAGTGTAAGTATAAATAGGGAGCTGCTAAATAAACACATTGATTGTGAATAAGATAATTTTTTGAAACCAGGGAATTTTGACAGATCGGGGGACGAAGTTGAAAGATGATAAACATCCCCAGGCCAGCGTGATTTGGCTGAAGCCGAATGACAGAGAGCACACCCAGCAAAAGAACGCGGACCAGCGACTGTGCTTTCCATGGCAGGCGACAAAAGTCTAACTCGCACTAGCTTTAAAAAAATTTTACAGGAAGTTTTTCACTC